AATAGCTGTCCGTGTTGTTCCATCTTCCATTTTAAACATTGTTTACCGTCCCTCATTCCAGCTAACGCTTCTCATTGCACTGATTCGCTGTGAACAGCCAATCGCGCGGTTTTGGTTTTATCCCTTTGTCCGGACTTCCGCGGTGGTGTTTCCGACGCATGTTGAATCGGCAGACAAAAGGCGTCAGGTCGGCGAAAAGACCCGACGGTGCGGCGCACCCACTCCTAATTTAGTGCGTGCCCACGCTCATGTTCGGCCCGAACTCCCATTTTACTGCTGCATTCGGGCCGGTGTATCTGTACTGGGAGAGCACATGCTGTTAAAAAGCAGGAAATAAAAAAAGGAACTCACCTTGTGATAAACCCGCAATGAGAAAAGCATTTGAGCTCCATACTATTTCAGAAATAATCCTGGTGGTTTTAAACAGTACGGGCTGTTTTATCACAGACAGAATTTAACTTTATCTCCGGTAGAATTCCTGATCAGGGCATTTAGCTCCGCCTCCTCTTCCTTTTTTTTTTTAAAGCTAAGGACCCAAGATCCGCGTTTCTCTAATACCCATTCACACCACGGTGTTTCAAAATACTGGCGGTTCGGAGCTGGAGCTTGAAAAGCACCGGGTTTTACCTCTTCACGCCTCAGCAGAGGCAGCCTTGTAATACCTCACATTCACACCAACGCAACTCCGGCTCAAGCTCCGTGCTATGAGTCTTTTCAGAGTTCAGGAACCGGTTCTCGGCTTTAGCTCCGGCTTTTTTCACATGCCCAGAGTCCGACTGGTGCTGCGTCATTGTGTCATCGTCAGCGTTTGCGTGCCTGCTTGATAAAGCCCAAACCGCGCGGGAAACCCCTCACAGCTGACACCGACAACAACAACAATGGCCGATTGTGCTCCAGCTTCCTCTGTGCCTCTTCAGAAAACCAGATTCCCAGTAGGTAGCTGGTCTCTTCAGTGGACCGCTGCCGTTGTGTACAAACTGGATAAAACGCAGGCTTTTTGTTGTTTTGTCAGTTTTTTGCTCTATAACAAACCAGATTGAATGATAAATCATTATAAAATGATTGATATATTTTAAAATAAAAAATACATATATTTTTTCCTCATTAATTTGCATTCCCCCACGGTTTTAAAAAAAAGTTTACAAATTACTTTTTACATTTTAACTGACAGGTATGTATTTTCTTGCAATTTTCTCTAACAGGTTATGGTTTCCTTCAACCAGCCCAAGCTGAGCTCTTTGCCCGGCAACAGGAGATGCTGCGGAAGCAGAATCTGGCCAGGTGTGTGTTGTAATGTCACAGTCTGTAAAACATTGTGTAATCATGGCAGCCAGAGAAGATATACTTGTGGACACAGTCATATGTTTTGAAGATACACCCACAAGCAGTGTTGTGAATGTGAAATACTGTGAATATTTCAAACCTTCGGCCCTGAGTTTAATTCCCCGTGTTTGACATCTTCAGACTTGAGATGTCGGCGGAGCTGCTGAGACAGAAAGAGTTGGAGAGTCTGCACCATCGGCAGCAGCAGCATCGTCTGCTGGGCTCCGACCATTTAGGAGTTCTACCCCCCGGCCTCCCCCCCGACCATCCAGCCCTGCGGAGCCTCCACGACATCCCAGAAGGCCATCCGCTCCGCGAGGAGCTGGCCCGACGCGCAAATGCAATGTTGGTGCTTCGCCATGGGGCCTCCACCCCCCTACTCACCCTCAACCACCACCACCAGCATCAACAGCCAGGGCCCCCGTCCACACCCAAAGACTCCCTCGCACAGAGATCCACTGCTGGGCCAGAAGCTGAATCCAGGAAGCCCCCCCGCAGGGCCCCCCAGACGCCGCTCCATGCTGGGGATCACGCAGGAGGAAGAGAGGACAGAGGGAGGGAGGAGCAGGATGAGGAGATGAAGGACTCAGACAGTGAAACAG